AAACAACCTACCGCATTCATCACACTTAAACTTCCTAACATCAGAATGCGTTACCATATGCATTCTCAAACTATAATTATCAAAAAACCTTTTATCACATATTTTACACACACAAGTTTTTTCGCCCATATGAACTTTTTTTTGGTGTTCCAAAACTCCGGAAGGATATCGGAACTTTTTGCCGCAAACGCCGCAAGATGGCGACGGGACACCGTGTTCTAATTCTAAATGTGACGTTCGAGAATTGGCGGGAATTTTGACATTACAATCAGGATAAGGACATTTTCGTAATCGAGGGCGCCTTTTCAAATGGACGAAACGATAATGTTGAGAGACTAGGGGCTGACGAGAAAATGTGCTGCCGCATTCTTTGCACCGATATTTTTCGTGAACGATTTCGTAGTACGCCATTCCTAGAAAGAAAAATGTACGTTTAAACTGCATTGCCAGGAAACATGCATATGCTCTGTAACAGTGTCGTGTTTCGCCGTATGAGTAAGGTTACTGAGGGCCCAATCATTTCCCTACCCCAATCTCTAAATCCCCAAAACCCTAATCCCCAAAAGGTCGACAACGCACAGGTACGTAACTCCTGCGTTGTTGTGGATGTCCATCGGCGGCGCTGATTGCTTACCATCAAGTTTTTTAAGTACCAGAGGAGTCACAAGCGGGTGATATGTCATAAGTCGTAAAAAGTCTCTTACTATAAACGACAATACGAAATTTGTCACATTATTGACCATGCATCGTACCAGATTTTTGACAGAAAGTCTACAACTGATATCAAAAATCTTAATTAATCCCAACGAGTCTGTTGTTCAGCCGGGGTGGGGTTGCGGATCAAGCTCAATTATTTGCCGCAGCTTCGGCCTAGAGAAGGAGAAGAAACGGTTGTTTTTACTTTGTAAGAGTCTGACGCTCCATGATTTCTAGCCCCGCCTAGGGCGAGAAAAGGGATTTGTTGATTTCCGCTTAAAAAAATAAAATAATAAAGCCATTTTGGATGGAAATTGGCTAATAACTTCTGTCGTATAGGACCATCTGGGTTACCATTTTTTCTTTTTGCTAGAAACGGCAGCTTCATTGAGGTAATACAATCTATACTAATATTATAAAGAGGTAAAATTTGTAAGTTTGTATGTAGGTGGTAATCTTTGGAACCACTGGTCGGATTGCCAAAAATCACTTTCACTGATAGTAAGCTACAATGTTCCTGAGTGCTATAGGCTATTAAAACATTACACTACGATCAAATGGAGCCAAGCAGCGGGTGAAACCGCGCGAGAGTGGCTAGTTTTAAATATAATAATGATTCCCAAAGTGTGTTTGTTATTGTGATCCGGATGGTAAGCGTAAGGCCTCTTATATAAGCATCTGATGCATGAGGGTGTGAGTTCGAAACCTGCCAAGTACCAATGTGACTGTTTCCGAGTTATAATATGTACTTTCTATGATTATTTAGACACCACTGACATACGGTAAAGGAAAACATCGTGAGGAAACCTGGGCCTATAACTTCTAATTATAAGTTTGAAATCGCCAATCCGCCTTGATCGAGTGTGGCGATTACTGCTCAAACCCTCTCCGTGTGAGAAGACCTTTGCTTAGCAGTGGACAGTTATAGGCTGATGATGATGATGATGATGATATTTGTTATTATCAGATGAAGGTACTTATGAAAGAAAACTTTTGCTTTACTTTCGGCATCAATTAGACGGTTCAGAACTCATTCGAAGCGGGGGCGGGCTGATAATCCAAACTAATATTATAATTGCGAAAGTAACTCTATCTGTCTGTCTTTTCTTCACGCCTAAACTACTAAACCGATTTCTATTAAATTTGGTACAGACATAATTTGGAACTCGAGAAAGGCCATGGGATAGTTTTTAAAATAAAAACCTGCAAGAAGTCACCATTCCACGTGAACGGAGTCGCGGGCAAAAGCTAGTACCTACTTAATAAAATAAAACACAAAAACCTATACATAAAAAAGTGTTTAATTATAAAATTTATTAAAATTATAATCATTTGTGATGCACCATAATATATATACATACTTTATAGCTACCTATAGCATTTTAACCATTAGGTTGGGTTAGGTTGGAAACCTGTTTATAGCAATTTTTTGATAAAATAAATTATAATTATGAGGTCTATTCCTAAATAATTTCCCGTTCGTCCTGTCCCGTTGTGGCTTGCCCAGTTAACTCACTTGATTAAGGGCTAATTTTTCAATAGTCAGATAAATGTTATCTGAGCAATAAAATTGTTGCTGTCACTGTCTTACACAAACATTCTGACGCGACAACATTATTATTATTCCCCAGGTAACTTTTAATTCCATTGAAAAGTCACATCAATGAATTTAGTAGGTATGTCTCAAGAAAATTACTATTCAAAAATATTGCACTAGTTTTTAAATCTATGATACAAAGTCTTATGTCCGGTTTCCGAAAGCCCGATCAATGTTAAAATCAACTAACTAGGTGTCAAATTTCTTGTCAAGTCATCTGATTGGTTGTTGATAATTCAGTCAACCAATCAGATGACTTGACAAGAGATTAAGTTGATTTTAACATTGATCGGCCTTTCGGAAACCGGGTGTTAGTCGATTAAAATCCAAACTAAACTAAAATATAACAAAGAGTAAACAGAAACGTATTATAATAGTACAGTTTAGTTGGTTAACTAAAGGTAAACAATGTTGGTATGTCTTTTTATATTAAAGAGGTCGTATAAAATACATACAAAGATTATTTAAATTTAGTTTATTAGCTAACATCAAATGAGATAAATACAAGTTTAAAATTTTTAGACAACTTTTAGATAAAAAGACATTAAATGTTAGGAAAAATATTTAGTTTTAAATCCGCGACAAAAATCCAGGCTTGTTGCAGGATGCAATCCCACTCCTATGCAATCATGCATATGCACATGCAGCCTGGATTTTTGTTGCGGAATTAAAACTAAATATTTTTCCTAGCATTAAATGTCATGTTTTTCTGCAAAGTAACGCCTGATTCTATAAATTATAAAAAGACATACCAAGATTCTTTACATTTAGTTTTACCTAAACCGATAGACCATGGATAATTTATTTTTATATGCATATCAAAAACAATACTTTTCTATTGATTTCTCTGTGTCATAATATTTATCCATCAAACGGCATACTTATTATTTAATTATAAGCTAGAATCATTCGAAAATGAAGACCTAAATGTGGGAGAGCCAAGCTTCGGTACGAATGGGTCGGCTCGACCGGAGTGATACCACGGCCTCACAGAAAACCGGCGTGAAACAACCACAGCGTTGTGTTCATAATGTAAGTGAAATATCGGAGGCTCAATTCCCTATTATCCAAATCCCAAAACAAAAAAAAAATAACTATGTATTTTATTGTTAAGAGTATCCATGGGCGGCGCCGATTGCTTACCATCAGGTAATCCGTCTGCTTATTTGCCGATCTACCCAATAAAAACTAATATAACCTTAAAATGATATGTATGTATGAATGTAAAAATAATTGCATTGATAATATAAGTGACAAAAGTAATACAGTTTTACTAGAAACAAATTAATTTTATCAAATTACATAATTAAGTTATAATTATTATTAGCAATACCAATTAAAACTTCTCTTTTATATTATTGCATTCAGTCTATCAAAATAATTTGTATGTACAATAATTTATACTGTCATACTCAATGGTATTATATGTGAAAAGGTGTAGATAGGTTACAAGCGCTCAGCAAGTGATACATTAAAATGTGGCTAACTAGCCACACTTTTTCATATTTGTCTCTTTTTCACTCGCGATTATTGAATCATGCCATCTCACTTTAAAGTGTAGGTATCATACGATTTATTAATGTGTGCATAAGTGTGCCGTTTTCGAAAATGGAATGTTGTTTATGTAACCTATCTAAACCATTTTACTTATAATATCATTGGGCATTCTTAAAGGCATTATATGATAACTAAAAACAACTTTTAATCAACGAGACGGTGTTGCGGGGCAAGCGCTATGAGTCACCGCGGCCTCCGCCTAGAGCAGGAGAAGGAACGGGGTGGATTTTAGTCAGTAAGTGCCTGACACTCTCTAGTCCAACCCAAGACGTGAGAAGTCTTTTGATAATTTTTACCATTCAAAAAATAAGTGCGTTGCTGGCACTCGTAACTCCTTTGCTGTGCCGGGTCCATGGGTGGCGCTGATTGCTTACCACCAGTTAATCCGTCTGGTCGGTTACCGACGTATCCCGAAAAAATAATAATAAAATGAAGTTATATTTTGTTAAAAAATTGTAGGTACTGAATAGCCAAAATAATTAATTTTTCGACCATTTTTTGTGAGCAGAAAATCATCAAATGACTTCTCCCGGCCAGGATAAAGGGAAGGAGTGTCAGATTCTTACTGACTTAAATCGCCCCTCGTTCCTTCTCCAGCTCTGGGCCATGGTCACAGTGCCTCATTGCGCTTGTCCCGCAACTCTGGCTGAACATCAGCCCTATAGGGCCCCGTCTGATTTTTTGTTTTGACCCAGGAAACTAGAAGACCTAGGTATTGCGTTCTGTTCTATGCACACTATGTACCGAACTATCGTAGCAAATTGTTATCATAATAAATATATCAATGTCGTGGTTAACCCGAGTTTAAGGCGTCCGCTGCTCATACATGAGGGTGCGAAACCTGACAATTACCAATGTGACTTTTTCCGAGTTATATGTACTTTCTATGATTATTTAGACACCACTGACATACGGTGAAGGAAAACTTTATGAAGAAAACTGTTCTGATAATTTAAAATTACCAAACCTTGTGATTAAAGCTCAAACCTTCTCCGTGTGAGAAGAGGCCTTTGCTCAGTAATGAGTTTTTATAGGCTGACGACCGACATGATGTATATCAAATTATTATTTTTTCCGTTTTTAGTCCTAAAGTTATGGAATAAAACACCCTACGACAGAAGGTACAGAGCAGAAATTACTAAAAACGAATTAAACAACTTCAAAAATTAACTTCGGGATGGTATTTCGTCATGTGATAATTCAAGCTAGCTTTTTGAACGAACGCCTGCCCGCATACGCTGCAAACTTTCCTCCTGTCACCTGTATGTATACGTTCGTGGAGATCCAATGTGGTCTTTCTTAAAAACGACTTCCTACAAAATCTACAATGATAATCTTTAACAGTTTTATGTTTGAATTTATGTTTATACATACCTTCGAAACTAAAGGATTCGTATTCGCAGAATTCACACTTATACCTTTCGCCAAGCATGTGGAAGTTATTAATATGTTTCCTTAATTGGATTTTCGTGTTGAAGATCCCCTTGCAAGCGTTACATTTAAATCTATCGTCTATATTGTGGGCTTCGAGTTTGTGGACCGTAAGAGGAGCCGGCGTCATGAACTCCTTAAGGCAAATATTGCAGGAAAAACGGGGTATCTTGTAATGTTTCGTCTTAACGTGGAACCTTAAAGAATAGAATTTGTCGTATTTTTTATCGCAATGCGCACACTGGTATGTGTCCCCGTCCCTTCTGTAATCTTCGTCGTTTAGTCGAAATTTCGTCGCCATATTTCTTCCTGGAGACAAGAAAATTATACTTGTATTGTTTTTAGATGCTTCCGACGTGAATCTCTTGCTGTACTCGTCGATTCACACACTTTAATATTTCGCGAGATTAAGTCCAAAGGCGGTTTCAAAAAATGTTTTTTAATGACGTACAATGGTATTTTAAGTCATAAGTCAAAATCATTAATAATTATTCCAACTAAGCCATAAATAGGCAATTTTTAAACGTCAAAATAGTAAATAGTAGTCTGTCAATCTGTTCGTCAGTGAAGCTAGAATTTCTTGTGTCATGGGTGCGTTAATGCGTTTACAAAAAAAAAATAACAATCAGACCCGAAATAACGAATTGTGGATCCAAAAGAGTAGTTCCTGAGGGCATCGAGCCCGTGACTCGTTGCACGCCAGCCGTGCAGTGAAAGTACTTTTTTTCTTTCAAATGAAAAATGGAAGGGATTTTTAAATAGATACCTATTTTTTAAGTTTATAATTGGTAATAATACTAATGCTGTTAATAATAGCCAATTTAAACTTGAAAATTAAATTCACAATATTGAAAAACCCCGTGTATAATTCATTACCTACCTAACAATTTTCTTAATTTGCTTTAAGTAGGAAATTGAAAAAACGGGAGGAAAAAAAATTAAAATAAAAAATTACAAGTCAGTCAGACAGTAATTATACGACTAGGAAACAAAGAGGAGGAAAAATCATCAAATGATTTTTCTCGCCTTAAGTGAGGCGGGAGGAAATGTCAGACTCTTTGCCTAAAAACACCCCCGTTTACCGAATATTGAATAATAAGTTACTAAGATTTATTATGTTTTCGGTTTACTCACGTAATAATTTGACGAGATACTCGACTAGTTTCAAGCTATGCTAGAGGCCCATATTTATGAGCAGCATTCCGCGACACGCGACTCGGCGGCTGTCGCGCTGCTACTGACGTCGGACAGTCGAGTATCTCGTCAAATTATTACGTGAGTAAGCCGAAAACATAATAAATAATTTAGAATGTCTCACGAAAGTTATAATTTAAAAAAAAAGTTACTAAGATGTTTAAAAAGCCGGAAGGATAATAATTTGTTAAATAAAACTTAAGGATTTTCGGTTCTCAAATCGCTGACGTTGGTCTGAAAGCCGCAGGCCTCAAGTGGAACTGGGCTGGACATGTTTGCCGCATGTCAGACGAGCGGTGGGCAAATTTATTACCGAATGGAGCCCACACAACACTAATTGACACCTAGGCAGGCCCAGAAGGAGATAGCGGGACGAACTTGATGTCTTCGACGAGGATTGGCCGCAGAAAGCTTTGTGTAGATAAGAGTGGAAGAAGGGTAGGGAGGCCTTTGCCCTGCAGTGGGACGATAACGGCTAATAATATAAAATAAATGATAAAAAAGGTTTTTCGAAGAATCTACTAACTATCAAGTAAAGCTAAGTGTGGGAGAGCCATGCTTCAGCACGAAAGGGTCGGCTCGACCGGGGTGATACCACGGCCTCACAGAAAACCGCCGTGAAACAACCACAGCGTTGTGTTTCGCCGTGTGAATGAGGTTACCGGAGGCCCTTCCCTTCCCCTATCCTTTCCCAATCCGATAAATATCCGCAACCCTTATCCCCAAAAGGCCGGCATCGCACTCGTAACTCCTTTGGTTTTGCGAATGTCCATGGGCGGCGCCGATTGCTTACCATCAGGTAATCTGTCTGCTCGTTTGCCGACTTATGCCATAAAGAAAAGGAGTCCTGGGTGTCATTCCCAGCTGTCTATGTAAAACAAAGTAGGTATAATCAATGACATTAAAAGTTAAAAGGTATAGATAGGTTACATAAACAACATTCGATTTTTAAAAACGGCACACTTATGCACACATGAATAAATCGTATGATACACGTTAAAGTGAGATGGCAAGATTCAATAATCGCGAGTAAAAAAGAGACAAATATGAAAAAGTGTGGCTAGTTAGCCACATTTTAATGTATCACTTGCTCAGCGCTTGTTACCTATCTACACCTTTTTACTTATAATATCATTGGGTATAATTAATTAAGTATTTTTGTTTTTCGCATTTTTTTTGTTAGGAGCCTGATACTCGAAGGATAACAGCTATAGAGTCAAACAAATTTTTTATCGCAATTACCTCGTTAAGAAAAATGGTGTTGATTTTTAACAGACTAACAAAAAGGAAGGAACTTGGCACCGAATTCAAGATTATAAAATAGTTATTAAATATTATTGTCTATATAACTAGATAAAAATATGTATTACTCGCTTGCTTTTTAGTTTAAGTCGTTTTTTGTGTTAGAAATTATTTTATTTCAGGGAGAAATAGTTATGTTTCGCTCCGCCATGGTTGAAGCGGGAGAGAGTGTCAGACTCTTACTGACTAAAAACCCCTTGTTCCTTCTCCTGCTCTGGGCCGAGGCCGCGGTGCCTCATTGCGCTTGACCCGCAACCCCGGGTGAATGTCATTATCTTAACTTCGAATCGAATATAAGAAAACGCCTAAGGCGTTAAGGCCGCCATTGTAAATTGTGCAAGAAGTGTAAAATAAATAAATCAATATAAGACTTAAAGTTAAGCTACCATTCCAGATTTTCATGTTTAAATATTCGAAAACCAAAAATAAATATTAAAAACAGTAAGAGAGTTTACATGTCAAGTGCCAAATCATGCTTCGGGACGAATGGGTCGGCTCGACCCGAGTGATACCACGGCCTCAAAGAAAACCGGCGTGAAATAACCAAAGAGTTGTGTTTCGCCGTGTGATTGAGGTTACCGGAAGCCCAATCCTTCCCCTTCCCCTACCCCAATCCGTTCCCTTTCCCAAAATCTCCAAATCCCTAATCCCCAAAAGGTCGACAAAGCACTCGTAACTCCTCCGTCATTACGAGTGTCCATTAGCGGCGCTGATTGCTATCACACAAAAATAAAATCCAACCTCAAACCCCAAATTCCCAATCCCCCCAAATCGCCAAATCCCCAATACCCTTACCCTCAAATCTTAACCCCCAAAAAGCCAACAATGCAATTATAACCCGGATATTGCGGATGTCCATGGGCGGCGCCGATTTCTTGACTTCAGGTAATCCGTCAACTCATTTACCGACCTATCTATTAAAAACAAAGTATAAAACAACTCTTACCAATTTTCTTACTCGCCGCATTATCTTCCGTCTCTACTTTAACATTCTTCCTCTCTGTCCTGCAACTCTTGTTTTTCTGTGTCTTTTTATTTGACGATCTCAATTTTCTCTTCTTGCTTTTCACATCGACTTCCGTGGGGTCATCTGTAATTAAAAGTAAAATATTACACTCCACCTAGTTTTTAAGTTAAAGTTTTATTTTTTTTATTAGATTTTAATTAAATGTTAGGAAAAATATTTAGTAGTTGAATTTTGTAATTTGCAACGAATGCAACGGGGTCTATGTGGGTCAGACAGGCCGCAATTTTGAGGTTAGATTTAAGGAGCATATTACCGCTTACAGGAATGGCCATCCAGATTAATCACATTTCGCTAAACATTCAATTGACACCGGCCATTCCTTGACCGACAATAACACGTATACAATTTTGCATGTTTGTGATAAAAAATTCCGGTTGTGTGTGTGTGTGCATATGCATGTTACCCTTGCTGCATGTGCATATGCATGATTGCATAAGAGTGGGATTGCATCCTGTAACAAGCCTGGATTTTTGTCGAGGAATTGAAACTAAATATTTTTCCTACCATTTAAGCTCATGGATTTCCGCACAGTAACGCCTGATTCTATAAATTAAATTTTTTTTTCATGTATAACTTCTATTTTTATTTCAACAATCCTTAAGTGTGGAAGATCTACGGTTCCTCTCGAATGGGTCTTAACACGGTCTCATTGAAAGCCAACTCCTTTGGTGTTGCCAGTGTCCATAGACAGCGCTGATTGCTTACCATCGGGTAATCCGTCTGCTCGTTTGCCGACAGATATCACAAAAAAACATGACTCGCCCACACTTTAATAAATAAACTGTGTGTTTAAATAATAAACAAAGAAATTAAGTTGATAAAGAAATGAATAATCTAGACTAATATTATAAAGAGGTAAAATTTGTAAGTTTGTATGTAGGGGGTAATCTTTGGAACCGCTGGTCGGATTTCCAAAATTCTTTTACTGATAGATAGCTACAATGTTCCTGAGTGTTATAGGCTATAAAACATCACGCTACGACTAAATGGAGCCGAGCAGCGGGTGAAACCGCGCTAGAGTAGCTAGTTGATAAAGTATACGCACCCTGTTCATCCACTTTAAGTTCAATATCTTCTTCGCTGTCGACGCACACATAATCATTCCCACTATCCAATGGACACTGGTCTTTGAACACATCTACAATGGTAAAGATTAATAATAATAGCCATTTTATTTAGTAGTTTCTTATCACAAATAAATCTTACTAATATTATAAATGCGAAAGTTAAGATGTTTGGAGGTTTGTTACTCAATCACGCCGAAACGGTTGGACGGATCTGGATGAAATTTGGCACAGGTATAGGATACACTCCAGAATGGGACATAGGTTACTTTTTGCCAACATACAACGCGGACTAAGCCGCGGACGGAAGCTAGTATTAAATAATATATATATTTTTTATTATAACTTTCGTGAAACATTCTAAATTAATTATTATATTTGATGAGATACTCGACTAGTTTCAAGCCATGCTAGAGGGCCATATTTTTGAGCAGCATTCCGCGACACGCGACTTAGCGACTGTCGCGGAAACAATATACGGCCAGTAGCAGCGCGACAGTCGCTGCGTCGCGTGACGCGAGTATCTCATCAAATTAAGTAAGTGAGTAAGCCAAAAACATAATATTAATTAAAATATAAGTAATCAAAATCATTGATTGATTTGATCAGCCGAGGTCGCGGGTCAACCGCATTAAGATACCTCGGCGTCCTCGGCCTAGAGCAGGAGAAGGAACGGGGGGGGGGGTTTAGTCAGGAAGAGTCTAACACTCCCTCCTTTCTAGGGTGGGCGAATACTATGATGTCGGAGTAATACCTTACAGAAAACCGGCGTGAAACAACCACAGCGTTGTTTTTCGCCGTGTGAATAAGGTTACCAGACGCCCAAACCATCCCCTTTTACCATTCCTGCCCAATCCTCTGTATCCCCAAATACCTTTATTCCTCAACTCCTCTGGTATTGCGGGGTTCTATGGGTGGCGCCGATTGCTTACCATCAGGTAATACGTCTGCCTGTAATAATTTAACTTCATATAATACGGCGGCAAAGAGAAGAACGCAAAAAAACTAAATGACTTCTCCCACCCTGAGTGGATGGCGAGAGGGAGTGTCAAACCCGTACTGACTGAAAGTCACTCTGTTCCTTCTCCTATCCGGGGGAGGCTGTGTGAATACTAACAGGTATAATCGATTAAAATTTTTTTTTTTTTTTATTTGATAAGTCGGCAAACGGTCTAAGCCGCCCTTGGACACCCGCAACACCTAAGGAGTAATGAGTCCGTGGCTGGCCTTTGGGGATAAGGGTTGCGGATATTTAAGGATTGGGAAGGGATTGGGCCTCCCATTACCTCACTTACACGGCGAAACACAATGCTGTGGTTGTTTCACGCCGGTTTCCTGTGAGGCCGTGGTATCACTCCGGTCGAGCCGACCTATTCGTGCCGAAGCATGCCCCGCACACACTGATCCCACACAATTATATAGGTATAATGGCTTAACTTACCATCCAGACTTGCATCAGGAATTTCTTGTTTCACTTCCACCTGCACTATTGGCTCCGCATCTGAAATAAATTACCTGCATTATGGATTTAATATATAATTAATTACTAGTTCATATTATAATATATATTATAAGTGACAAAATTCGATAATGGAGCCTTTATCTTCTTCGCAAATACTTGTTTTAATAAACACATTGAAATAATTACACATAAATAATTCATTATTTAATAAATAATAATAATTTATTATTTAATAACTAATAATAATTTATTATTTAATTATTTCAATTTATTAATTTTGTCACAGTTTTTTTAATAATTTACTACATTTAAGAAATTTTGATACACCTCATCGAATCCAAATTGTGGATCTTACTAAGAATTATTTTTATTTTAATAAATAATGGGCAGGCATTTGGCCTTTAACAAGCCTGGTGGAAAACCTAGTTATTATTATATGTTTAGTATTGATATGAAAAGTGATGTTTTATGGCTTATTTATTTAATTAAATTTAATATATCATAGCTTCTATTTTATGAGTACAAATAAAAAATATTGTGAATGGACTACCTTTTATAAAATTCCTATTATATAGATCTCTGAATGCTTCCTCACAAGTAAGAACTTGTTTCTTAAAGTCCGTAGCATCCCGTAATCTTGTTATGCATGACTCACAAATAGTATATGTTGCTGTGCAATACATGCCTGGCACAGGAGACAACTGGAATTTGAAATAATATAAATAAATAAGTCAGAGAATACAATAGATATAGGCATGATATTTTCTTGTAACAAACTTCAAAAGAAATTGCATTTTTATGTCTGATTAATATTGTTTTTTTTAATGAGGAGTATAAAGATAATAAAATAGAGTTATTTCATACTAAGACCTGTTTTATTTATTTAAATTAATTCTATTTGAAAAATAATATGATGCGATCTTATACTCAAATTTTCAGTGATGTAAATAGGCATAAAGTTTTCGCATAGAAAAAGTACCTTCACGAAAACTATAAGGAATATAACATATTATATTAGATATGAACGGAACGGGCGACGACTATCTCATAAATCTAGTATGAGATTTTTATTAACATTATAATAAGTAATACTTATTACTTAAAGTAAACAAGGGATTTATTTTGTTTATTTTTATGGTCTTTGTGGACAAGTTTTCGAAGTTTACGGGCATGTAATCTAGGTTTTACTCACATCAATATCGAAACATTCTTTCAACATAGCCGTATAAGTCTCAGTAACACCTAAAATTGTATATGTTTCAGCCAAATTAATAAAAGTTCCTTCGCTGTGACAACAACGACACAGATCTTTCTCTAATTTCCAATTTCCTAAAGACATTTTTGTATATTCGTTGTATTCATTCAGTTTAATAAATTCTACATGTACATTAGACAACAATTCGATGGTTAAACATTGTTCTTATTCTATTTATTATACAATATAAACAATGTTTTCGAAATATTGTGTACAAATTGGGACGGTCAAATCAATTCGCCATTTTGTTTCTTAATTTGACAGTGACATTGACAGCAAATGCGTTCCAGTTCAAAAACGTAGATAATTGAGCATTGATTCAAGTTTTGCTTTGCGACAGTAGAGGTGTTTTTTTAAAGTATAGTGGTGCCTTTGGAGCGCTCTATTTATTGTTTCTTGATGTATAAAATCTAGGAGATTGGGGTCATATCTTGAGTTGCAATTTATAGACGGCCAGGAACACGGTGTCCAACTAGTGAAATTAATTATTTTTAACGAGAATTTCTACATTACGTATGTATTTCATCTAATATATCCCGGCTTCGGCCCAGACAGAAGTAAAAGGGGTAGTTTTAGTCAGTAATTCTGACACTCTCATACCACCCTAGCCAGTCATTGGTTTTTTTGTTATATGAGGCAAACGAGTAGATGGATCACCTATAAGGCAAGTAATTTGCGCCGCCCCAGAGCGTTACTTGAAGGGTCACCCTATAGAACTTACTTAGGTCAGGAGTCGAATCCAAAGAAACTATATTATTTTCTATTAATAACCAAAAGCTTTTCGTTCGTTAATACCCACCAAACAATACTCCATGTTTCACAATCGTCTTTTACAATGTAATCAGCATAATTTGTTGCCTGTAAAAAAATTAAAAACCAAAGACTTTTTGCAATGTTTATTTCGCATTCAACTTTTTATCAATAATCAACTGTTTATAGTCCATATCACTGTGATGCACTCGGATGTGGTTTTTCAAACTGCATTTTTGCACAAACGCCTGGGAGCAAGCTCCGCACGCGAACCTCCTATCATTCATATGTATCCTCAAATGTTGAATCAAAGTTTTCCGTCGTCCGTACTTCTTATGACAAATTTCACATTCGTAATTTTTCTCACCTGAATGCACAACCATGTGATAGGTGAGACCGTACTTAGTTTTAAACATTGATCCACATACAGCACACGCGTACCGAGGCTCCGGGTTGATGTGCAAATGCTCAGACCTCATATGCGAGTACAAACTTTTATGATAATCGAACTTTTTCGAACAAATCCTACAAGTTAGGTTTAAAGGTTTCCTTTTATGCACTTCCTCTAAATGCTCGACGCGTTTCTGACTAGTTAGAAACGTTTTGTTACATATTGAACACATAAAAGACAGTTTTTTATGTTTATACCTAATGTGGCTTCGTAAAAGCATTTTTGAACTACAAATTTTGCCGCAATACTCACATTTAGCCGCGCTTTCTTTGTGAGTTAGGGCGTGGGCTCTTAATCTGTCCGCTAACAAGAAACATCGCCCACAAACATCACATACATGATCAGTACTGTGCTCATTCATATGATTGGTGAGAGTTTTGAAAAAGAAAAACTCTGCCTTGCATTGACAACACCTATATTTGCCATCACTTAGATCGTAGCCCAAAATACAATCCGCGGGCTTTACGCTGTCACTGTCGAAATTGAATTTGACATTATGCACATCTGTCAAATGTTGTATCAGCAGGTCTATGGTTTCTATCTTTTTTTTACAAACTCTACAATTTATGTCGCTGACATCAGCTCGGATGCGGTCGCGGGGTCTGTGAATACTTTTTAATATGGATTTGAAACTGATATTCTCGTGTAACTCTGCAACGTGGGCCCTGAGCTGGTCGAAGCTTGCGTACTGCTTCTTGCAGTAGAAGCAGTTAAAATATCCCTTATTAGACTTGAAGGGCAGGATGGTGGAATGTTCTAGTATGAGGCCGACATTCTGTCTATGGTTGATGTAGTTGGATGCTTTCACATCACTCTTGGTCGTCTCCAACCTTTTTCTTTTGGGCCCTGGAAATGGAAAAAGTCAAATTAAAAGGAGTTATTTTATAGTCTTTTAGTTTGCTAAGTTTACATAATGATGAGAGGCAGGTCAGGTTACCATATAGCTCCATAATAATAAGCTTTTCTCAGTTAATTCAGGTAAATAATTAATTATTTCCAACAAAAAAAATACCTAGTATAAAATACATAGTAATGGACAACATACCTGCTGTCGATTCTGTAACTTCCTTCTTTAAAATATCTTTCTTTGACTTCAAACATTTGTCGGCATTTTGTGATCTAACTACCAAAGGCGTATCTGTCAAAACAAAAAATATAAAATTAATTACAATTCGTTTGGGAGAGCCATGCTTCGGCGAGAATGGGCGGGTCGACTGGAGTGATACCACGGCCTCACAGAATACCGGCGTGAAACAACCACAGCGTTGTGTTTCACTGTGGGAGTTAGGTTACCGGATGCCCAAACCTTACCTTCCCCCTTCCGTCAACAGCAATCCCCAAAACCCCTTATCCCCATAATTCACCGACAACGCACAATTCCTTCATAAAATGTACGGCTACATTGGTTGGTGTGCAAGATTATTCGGGTTCGATTTTGATACAAAATTCCAAGTCTTTCAGCCGGGGTTGCGGAGCAAGCGCAATAAGACACCGCGGCCTCGGCTCAGAGCAGGAGAAGAAATAGGGAGGTTTTAAGTCAGTAAGTGTCTCTCTCCCGCCCGACCCTGGGAAGACCTCATTTGATAATATTTCCCGGACAAAAAAAAACGAAACTCTTTATTTTCCGGGACGAAATGAATTTTTATTTAATATTTCTCTAAGACTTTTACATACATGAAAGTCGTGGTGGCCCGGAGGTTAAGGCGCCCGCTTCTCATGCATGAGGGTGCGGGTTCGAAACCTGGCAAGTACCAATGTGACTTTTTGAAATCACCAACCCGCATTGAGCAAGCGTGGTGATTAATGCTCTAACCTTCTCCGTGTGAGAAGAGGCCTTTGCTCAGCAGTGGGCACTTATAGGCTGATGATGATGATGATTACATACATTCTTATTTTATTATTTTTACAGAATCTCTTCTCTCCTCCCATCCCTACCCAATCCCTAAATCTCCGATACTTTAACCTTCAAAAGGCCGGTAACGCATCCGTAACTCCTCTGTTGACCCGATCCCGAAAGGCGCTGATTGCTTACCATCAAGTATGCTCATTTGCCGACCTATCACATAAAATCTTCCACATCATCACCAGCCTATAAATGCCCACTGCTGAGCAAAGGCCTCTTCTCATACTGAGAAGGTTAGAGCATTGATCACCACGCTTGCTCAATGCGGGTTGGCGATTTCAAACTTATAAGTCCAGGTTTCCTCACGATGTTTACCTTCACCGTATGTCAGTGGTGTCTAAATAATCTTCCACACTTACTATGGATATAAGAAGATTAAAAAGTCTTACCATCACTGCTGGTATCCCCATCACCGTTACATAAATCACCATCCTGATCATTATAATCATCAACATTATTCTCCGTTGCATCCAATCCTGAAAAAAGGTAAACATAGTATAAAATTATAGTAATACTAGCTCCCACCCGCGGCCTCGCACGCTCATATAAGTAACTAGCTACTCCCGCGCGGTTTCACCCGCTGCCCGTCTCCATTTAATCGTAGCGTGATGTTTTATAGCCTATAGCACTCAGGAACATTGCAGCTATGTAGCAGTGAAACTATTTTGGCAATCCGAAAAGCGGTTCCAAAGATTACTACTCCCTATATACAAACTTACATATTTTACCTCTTTATAATATTAGTATAGATGTATCCAGTTTTTTAAACAGTGTAGTTCAGAAATCCCTAAACGATATCTCGACTATAATACGCAAATCATCAATCAATCTAGTACCTATAATTTATAGCACTCTAGAACATCGTGCGTTGATACGTAAGTCAGTCAGACAGCAACTTTCTTATTTTATATATTTATATATTTAGACTAGCTAATGACGAAAGGGTCACCATTTTCCAGCTTGCCCCTCTACATTTCTAAAATTTTCTTACATAAGAACCTTCTCCTGAATGCCTGGCCCAATTTAGAAGAATTGGGTAGTTTCCTAGGTCGAAAATAAATTAATTCGACGTTTTAATACAATAAAATATTGAAAAATAACTATACTTTTATTTATCGATCGATCGATACACTAAATTTTAGATATTTATTAACTAATTATTAAGAAATAAGTAAGCTATTTGACGCAAAAATACTATGACGTCATAACTCAGTGTTTCATACAAATTTCATAAAAAAGTATCGTTTTTGACATTTGGATAAAAGTATTGAATTTGACTAGTTGGAAACTACCGTATTGGCTAAATTGGGCCAGGCATTGTTGAGTTATAGGCTTACCAACACATTTTGTGATTCATCTACAATTATACTAATATTATAAAGAGGTAAAATTTGTAATTTAGTAAGTACGTATGTAGGGGCAAATCTTTGGAACCTCTGGTTGGATTGCGAAAATGCTTTCACTGATAGATAGCTACAATGTTCCTGAGTGCTATAGGCAACATCACCCTACGACTTATAGGAGCCGAACAGCGAGTGAAGCCGCGCCGCAGTAGCTAGAGTTTTAGTGTTTTAATAAACTCACCTTGTTCTGTTTCCGTCTTGCTGTTCACTTCAAACTCTATCTTCTCTACTTTCAATGGCTGCACAACATCTGTAAAAGAACTCTCCGTTTAAATTAATCCTTCTTTTCTCTAATTTTTGCAGCAAGATATTACTTAGGTACAGTGCGGCCGACGTATCTTGGCGAGTCTGAAGTTAGCCGTTTGTCTGCGCAATGGATCTTTTAGGAACAAAATTGTGTACTGGGCAGCTAATCGGCTAACTTCAGACTCGCCAAGATTCGTCGGCCGCACTGTACTAAGATTCATATATTAACTGGATAATACCGAAATTAGATGAACAATGCTTCTAAAATCTACGAAATAAACTTGAATTTTAACTAAGTATAATGTTTATGAACGTAAATAGGTATATTGACATAACGACTTACTCCCGTGAATGAACTGAGAAAAGCTCGACTAGTTTCAAGTCACAACGGGACTCTTAACCATGAGCAGCGTGCGCGTCGCGGCGACGTCGCGTAACGAACTTCTTTTATCACTTCATTCACGTAAGTCATTATTGATTCCATCATTATCAAT